ATGTCGGCGATGACAATGGCAAGGCCCTATGACGGCGACAACGCCCGCCGATGCCGATGCTGGCGCCCATGCAGCGGCGATGAAAGCTGCAAACGGTTTCGGGGCGCGCGCGGCCAATGCGCGCGAATGGCCCCCCTTGGCGTTATTTGACAGGGGTCGTGCCCCCCCCCAAGCACGCGCGCAAGGGCGTTCAAATAATTCCGACATGCGCGCGCGAGAAGCACAGTTCGTCGCATTCGATGGAAATTCCTACGTGATGCAACCGACGTGGTGCACTCGCAAGTGAGCTGTCGACCCCAGCGTTCGCGCCATGATTCCGCCCACCCGCCCAGGATTTTGTCAGCAAAACCCATGCTGCGATGACTGCTTGGCGCTGGCTGGCGCATCGCTGCGGCTGCGCCAGCGCGCGCATGCCCGCGCGCAGAGCAGCCAGCCAGTCTGGCGCGACCGTCGCGGCTGTGGTGGCTCTAGCCGCTGGGGACTTCCCAGCGCGTCTTGCAGGCCGCGCTGACGCGCGGGCACTTCAGTGCGAGTCGGTGACTCAGCCGGGCGCGGTACCATGGTGACGTCGACAACGGCACGGACGATGATGATAGGCGGTGCTGGTGACGATGATGGCGAAGACGACGGCGAGGCCAATGACACCGCCGACGCTCGCCGATCACGATGATGGTTTCCACGCGTCTGTGCTGAAGGTTGGAAAGATTTCGACTCGCCCGCGCGGACAGCGCGCGCGAGTGGCCTGCAACGTTTTAGTTGACATCGACCTTGCCCCCCATCGCGCGTGCAAGGGCGTTCGGATACTTTCGACGCGCGCACAGTTGGCCGCATTAGATGACAGTGCTGACATAAACATGGCGTTGTTTATGGAACATTCGCACGAGCGCGAACGCTGGGTCTTTCTAACAGCCATGCAACACCATTGTTTTGCTCGGCAACCGCGATCTTGAAATACTTAAGAAACTAGGCATGGTTGAAATATTTCGACATGCGCGCGCGACGACGCGCGCGTCGACAATGGCTCATTTGTTGCAGCGGACCCCTGGCAACTGATGAGTTGTAACAAACAGGTGCGCGCGCATAATCTGATTTAATAGGGATCATGGGGGTGTCGATAACGACCTTCCTAGGATGGTATGACTTAAACTTGAAGTGGACGAAGGGCAACATCGTATGTGGAGGATCTGTGTCGGGCGGCAACGAGGCGGCGACGGCGACGCCGAGGCGGCGGACCCAGCAATGCAGCCAAGACGAAGTGCGTCGACGAGGCGGCGACGGCGATAACGAGACGGCGGACCCGGCACTGGAGCCCACACGGCGGGCGGCAACGAGGCAACGACGGGGCGGCGACGGCGACTACGAGGTGGGGGATCCAACAATGGAACCCAGGCGACGGGCGGCGACGAGGCGGCGACGGTGACAAGATGGCGGCGAACCTGGCAATGGAGCCCAGACGACGGGCGGCGACGAGGCGGCGACGGTGACAACAAGGCAGCGGACCAGGCATTGGAGCCCAGACGACGAGCGGCGACGAGGCGGCGGCGGGGCGACGAGGGGTGGCGACGACGACAAGAAGGCGGCGAACCCAGCAATGGAGCCAAACTCCTTAGAAGTAAGAACCGTAAGTGCAAGCAAGCACTCTGGGAAATGATGAAATGCTGCGCTGTGGAAAAATTTCTTGGCGCCCTCGCTCGAGCGTTGTGCGAAATGATCTTGGACTGCCGAACTTGCGGCAAAAGACCCTGCACAACTTTAGGCAGCCACGATTGGGGGACCGTTAAGGGGGCCACGATTGGGGGGGTGGCACGATGGGCCAACGATATCGGCGTCCGTGCTCTCTCACCAGGCGATCGAGGCACCAGGGTGAACACTTACAGATAAACTGCCTAGAAAGCATAACAAGCGAGGCTCACGTTCAGTGGCGGAACTTGAGCGTCACAATGTGGGTCTGGCCCCCGGGCAAGCACAACTCCTACCCTGTGCGTCCGCAGGGGCTCGACAGGCCCCCCGCTCCAGACCAAGACTTCCTCACAGTAGCCAACAGGTTGTAGAACAATTATCCAGAAGGGACATGGGACGAGCTGGCCTAATCAGACGACGAGGACCGCCTCGGCGACGAGGACAACGAGGATGACAAACTCGACGACATCGGCGTCGCTGTCGACGCACCCAGAGGAAGACACAAACTGCATAAACATGATCTTTCGGAGGTCCGCGTGCTTCTCTTGGATCGGCGCTGAACCTCCCCCTCCCTGGCTTCCCTGTCGCGCGGGGCGCGCCACACCAGAAGCGCCGCCAAGGGTGCCGAGCGCCGCCGATCCGAGAAATACGCGCGGAGCTCCGAAAGTATATGCTTGTATACTTATTTCTTATTCGAACAGCCCTCGCTCCCGATCGCTTGTTCGACGCGGTGTGCCCGGGGTGCCCGTCGCAGCCAGATCGTCGAAAAGCCCCCGTTCGAGGGTCTCATCACCGGTCGCGATCACTTGCTCCAGACGATCACTGCCCAAGGGCACGTCCCCGCCCGAGACCCCATCATGACCTGCTCAGAAATCGCGCTCTTGCCTCGAGCCCCCGCTGCACTTCGCTCGGGGTGTCGCGCTCGCGTCGCTCGGGACTCCCAACCCTCACAGCAGCGCTCGGCTTACACTTCCTTCCAGTGTGCCTGGTCAGGGACCCCTAAACCAGGACATTTCCAACCAGGACTTTGGAAATTCCACCTGGAGAGAACGAATCAAGGATGATATTTCGACCCATGGCTGCAATTCCCTCAGGGGCGCCGATATCCTGGCTTATCAATAATCTACGCTTGTGGGACCCTGATCAGGCATCGCACTATCGTCCTAAACCTCCTCGCAACTCACTTACGTAAGTGTCGCGCTCTCGCCATTCAGGAGTCGCGCTCCCGCCTGGGACTTCAATACTCGCGGTCTCGCCTCTGCACTGGCTACCTGAGGGCTCGAGTGCGAGAGTTCGCTGCACTTCTCAAACCCCTGAAACCCTGGCAGTCCTACCGCAGCCCTCTTTCCGCCTCCCTTCTGCCTCTGTTCTTTTCGCCCCGTTCCTCATTTCGTATTTCCCCCCGCTCTCTTATTTATAATATCTCGCTAGCTGCTATGATCCCCCCCCCAAGGAAAAGAGTGCGCTCATAGGCGTTGGCGACGGATAAAGAGGAGCAACCGAAGGCTTGAACACATATAATTTCTGAGAGGTCCGCGCGGATTTCTTGGATCGGCGCTGGAGGCGCCGCCAGGGAGGCCCAGCGCTGATTGAAGAAATCCACGAGAAGCTCAAACAATTATGTCTATTCAATGTTTGTTCTCCGGGGATACAACGGAGGCGGAGAAACTCTTGAACAATTTGGAGGTCACATGCTCGTGAGTCTTGTTGCTGTTTTTTTCGTGAAGGGTATCGCAGTGTGAGTCTCACGGCCGACCTTGACAAAAGCAAGGGGGCGAATGTCACACACTTAGTTAAAACACAGCTGTGCGCGCTGGTGGGGTATCAATCGCGACTCCTTTCGAGAAGCGACAGACAACAATGGAGTCATAGGGCAGCTACAAGGAACGCTGAATAAGAAGCAAGTGGGCTTTTTCTGGCCACGGCGAACCTTGACCACGAACAAGCTCCCCGACCTAGATCCAAGAAGCGGCCCGCAAACCTGACGTCCTCCTGAGCCCCACGTGGTCCTCATACTGGCGCCTTGACTGTGGGAGCACCACGCGGCCCAGGAGCAGCACCACGGGCAGGCGGGAAGGAGGGAAAGCGGGCGGGCGGGACAAAGAGGCAAACCAGCCCGCTCCCCCCCACCATCCTCCGATCCCCCTCCCTCCTCTGGGGAAGCAGAAACGGCATAAGCGTACACGTAAACTTTCGAGTGCCCGCGCAGACGTCTTAGGTCGGCGCTGGTACCCCCTTCCTTGGCGCGCGCGGAGGGCCTGGCGCGCGAAGCGTGCCGGGGATAGCGTGGGAGGCACCACAAAGGGGGTACAACGCCGACCCATGAAATTTGCGCAAACCTCAACCATGTTATTATGATGTCATCTTTTTTACTTTTGGCTACCAGTCGGAAGCATGAGGTAGCACCATCAAGTAGGAAGGCGTGGAATGTAGATTGAGTTCCCGCCCCCTCCCCCCCCTCCAAGAAAAACAAAGAAAAAGAAACGCCGCTCGATGATGGAAGCAGAAGTGCGCCTGATGCAAATTGGAATTTGGGAATCCCAAAAAACAGAGCGAGGGGGCCGAACGGTCATTGACTGTCCCTGGGTGCGTGGCTGAAGTGGGGTTCAGCGGTGCATTGTTGTAGCGTTGCTTTGTTGTCGCCATCCTCGCCCGCGACCCACCCGCGGCCCACCCAACGACAACCCCGCGACCCACCCTGCGACCCACCCTGCGACCCATCCGCGACCCACCCACGTTGCTTTGACGAAAAAACGGCGCCTGCGGCGGGCTTCTTCAGAGCTTCGCAGACTGCCGACGACCCCGCCGCCCCCTCACTTTCATCCGCAGCTGCGGAGGCTATCTACTTACTTTCAACGGCCGATCGGGACCTCTTTCTTCGCCCTTCCCCTGAAAAGGTTTCGGGCCACCTCAACCTGGGGGCTCGGAGCGCCCCGAGGGCGCCGCCCGAAGCGACGCCTGGGTGATGAGACAGCCCTGGACTACTCGGGTGGCCTGTTTAGGCCAGCTGAGACTACTCGGGGGGCCTGTTGAGGCCAGCTGGGACTACCGAAGACTTACCAGATTCCCGACGTCAACTTTATTTCTGCACGACGTCGACCGACGAAAGTCTCGAACCATTTCCTGGGATAGGTTTTTTTTTCTGGGAATCGTTATTTTAGGTCCCGGTCCCCGGCGAGGAGGGTTCCCAAAGGCTGAGAATAGCGAAAAACCTCCCGTCGCGATTTCTTCATGACTCTGCGGCCCCTCGTCGTCGCCTTACCAATCGTCGCCTCGTCCTCGCGCCCCTGGCCCCATCCGCGCTGCGTCCCCGCGCGGTCCTGACCGGAATCCGCGCTCGCCGCTTGGCGCACCGCCGCCTGCCGCGTCGGTCGCTCTCTGCTCGGCGCGGGGGGGGCATTGAAGGTTTAAAGCATGCTTGGAAGGCTTGCAAGCTTGGAACAGAGGCTGCGAAGGAGCTCAATCAAGAAGCGCTCTAAAGGAACTGCGCAAAGGTTTGCGACACACGTATTCGGAACGAGTGGGAAAACGCGTCTTGGACACGCTGGGGCCGTCGGAGAGACTTGCCCCCCGGCCCTCCTGCTAGCTGCAGCAAGCACGTGCGATACGAGGCCCGACTACGGTCGGACATTTGTGTTTACAGTGTTGCGTCGGCGGCCACGGCGACACGCTATGCCTTGCCAGTGGATAGCGTGCCGCTCCGCTCCGCGGGGCGAGACGTTCCGACAAACTCGGGACGTTGACGCTGAAAGACCAGGACGCAGATAATGTGTCGCGCCGAAGCGTGGTGTGCCAAAACCTGCGGATCGGCAGGCTAACCAAAAGTTCACGAGCGCTGAATCGAATTTGGCGCCCATTCTTCGTCGATTTTTTGCGCAGACAACACAATCCACCCCTATGCCCAGCCAGGGCCTCATACCCCGACCTGCTGATCCAGGGGGTCCTGGCTGGGGGTGGGGTGTTTTCATTGTTCTCGGAAGGGGATTTGACCAAACAGCATGCGTGCACCACCGCATTGTTCTGTATTTGCCACTTCGGTATGCGTTTTCTTT